CCCTCTCTCTCTCTCTCTCTCTCACACACACACACACACACACACACACACACACACACACACACACACACACACACATGACCAAACTCGCAGGGAAGAATATGACATGAACAAAGAGCGGAGGAACAGCGACAAGTGAAAACGAAGAGGGCGGCCGACACTCACCTTGCGATGCAATTGAAATTTCCATCGCTTCACTGCTGCAGGGACAGCACAGGAAGATGGGTGCCCCTTACGAGGGCATATGGCGCAGAGCTCGATGGAATGCGACCTCCGGTTGAGGGAGGGCGTCCTGGAAGTTGCGCCCACTACCGACAGGGGCCTGCCGAAAAGAGTTTTAGGCCCAGGGGCGCAACAGGGTAAATCGGATGCCCGAGGGGCACCACACAAATTAATGAAAAATACAGGGGCGCCAGACAAATTTCCCTACAAAAAATCCACATCCTAAGAAAAAAAATAAATAAAAAAAATCCACATCCGGCCTTGAGCATGGTCCCTTAAATTTTTAAGATAGACCGGCCAGCTTAGTCCCCAGGCGGAGTGTTTAACGCGTTATCCTCATTTTAGCTGCACCGGGCCAGAAATTTACCCTGTATGCATTCGTTATCATGGTGGGTTGTGTTCGGGCGAAGACGGTGGTGTGAATACGCCCAGAGAAGACTGAGTAGGGGAAGGCTTTTGCTTCCGTTGACGCCAGTCCATCTGGGCCTCGCCGCACCAGTCACTAAAAGCAGAAACGACGTATCTTTCCATGCCTTCGGCGTACATTCATTCTCATTTCGCACATTTGTTGCATGGTCCGGCGACCGCGTATAGGAGGAGGAGTCTCCTATACGCGGTCGCCGGACCATGCGACAAATGTGCGAAATGAGAACGAATTTAAGCCAAAGGCATGGAAAGATACGTCGTTTCTGCTTTTAGTGACTGGTGCGGCGAGGCCCAGATGGACTGGCGTCAACTATATCTACAGGGTGGCCGTCACGAGGAATATCCGTTTCGTTATAGGGCTTATCATTTTGGCGTTTCCTTCATGCGAGATATTGCTGACACGTGCCATCCCGAGTCCTTCATGTTCAAGCTATTGCGAACTTGGTCTGTATTTCAGCAACAGTTCATGGGTGTACCAACCTAACTGAGGTAGGCCCGCTGGTTGGCTTGTTGCAGTTTGGTGGGACATGCGAGCGAGAGAATAGAGAATCTCTCTCCTTCCGGCGATCAGTACGAGCTGAAAGTTTCCCACGGTGGCGTCGCTAGAACTGCTCTCTGACTGACTCCAGCTACAGTTGGGCGTGACGAGAAATTCCAGGAAGAGGAGAGCGAGAGGAAGAAGGGAGGGGGGGGGATGGGGAGAGTGTGCGTCGTGTGCGGCTCTGGCCCGACGAGTCGGAGGTGCAGCGGATGCCACACGACTTGTTACTGTTCACCCGATTGTCAACGAAGTCATTGGCGGGAGCACAAGTCCACATGCAGCAGGGAGAAGAAGGAAGAGGGAGCGAGGAGCGGTAATAAGCGCGTAGGGGAGGAGCGGGGGGAGGAGGAGCACAGCCGAGAGGGGGAGGGAGTTAAGGAGGAGAAAAGCCGAGAGAGGGGGGGAGGTGAGAAGGAGGAGGGGAAGGGGAAAGCTATCGCGATAGGAAGCAAGGAGGAGAAAGAAGCAAAGGGCATGAGAGAGAAGAGGACGATCCACGTGGCAGGCTCAGAGGAAGCCAACTTGAAGAAGAGAGAAGAGGAGAGAATGGAGGAGGCCGCCAAGCAGGGCAAGATGGACGATGCAAGAAAGAACACTTCGATCCTTCACCATACCTGCGGAAACAAGCCCATCAAGGTGGTAGGTAAGGCTAAGGAGCAAGAGCACAAGCTTGCGCAGGAGGAGGAGGAGGAGGAGGAGGAGGAGGAGGAGGAGGAGGAGGAAACGTCAATCAAGGTTGTAGATAAGACTACTAAGGATCACGAGGGTAAGGTTGAGGAGGAGAGAGAGGAGGAGGTGGTGGAAAAGAATGAGAGGGTGGAGGGAAGAGAAGAGGAGGAGAAGGAGAAGGAGAAGGAGAAGGAGAAGGTGAAAGAGGACAATGTACCAAGGAGGAAGATCCGGGTGGTTGTGGTGAATGGCTCCATAGCGCACGAGGAAGATCTGGTTGACCAAGACTTGACCCCATGGACACCGCCTCGTGCGCCGGAAGATGATTTCGTGATTCGATCTGGCGCCGATTGGGTAAGGGTTTACAAGCAGACATTTGAAGAGGCCCCTCCCATTCCCAGTCCCAACGATGGCTGGGAAAGGTGTGAGGTGCCAATGATGCTGGGAGTACCTCTGGTCATGAAGTGCATTCGTCCTTATCCCAAGGGATGCCGACCGACGAAGCAGATCGCGGTTTTCATGATGGTAGTTGTGAAGACCGGCTTTGCACCGCATCGTTGGGCGTTGGGGCCGAACAGAGCACCTGGAATGATCGCGCTGGCCAGGACCGATGGGCACCCCTTCACCGTTGATCTGTTCTACCATCTCTATGGTTACATCCACAAGTTGATGGATTACTACCCGGAGAATGCTGCCAGAGTCCCCAGGAAGCTAACCCCGGCGGCTTTCCAGCGATTCATCAGGTCGAGGGAGGAGGAGAGAGCGCAGTATGATAGCTTACGTGCTGTCTACAATCTCTGACTCTGATCTAGCGCGGAATGGCGGTAAGGGGAGGGGGGGGGGGGGGGGGGGGGGAAGGAGAGGTAGGGGGGTGGTGTAAGGGCCTCGCTGCACCACTTTCGGAATTCACAAAAGACAAAGATTATGACGGTATCTTTCCATGATTTGGCGGAAGATGCATTCAGATTTCTTGCAAATTTTGTGTGTGAGTTGTGCGGTGAGGGGCCCTGTGCTGCAAGAGAGATTGGTGAAAGACAGAGACGACAACAACATCTCTGCCGGTCTGGCTATCCCGACCGGTAGATAGGAGGGAGGAGGGAGGGAGGGAGGATGGGAGCGGGGAGAGTGGCTCTAGTTGACTATCATTGGCCCCGATCGGGATACCAATCTATCGTCCGACGGAGGGAGGACGGGAACGTAGGGACTACGTTCTTCGCCCGAAATTATCCACGCATCCACTTGTTTTTTTTTTTTTTTTTTGATTTTGAAAAGGGCGATGGCCTTGAGGTATTTTCCCCCTTGGGATGTAGTTGTTTGCATGTGAGTAACAAATAATAAATCGATGGGTCTTTTTTTTGTTGTTTTCTTTCTCCCTTGGGATATGGTTCTTTGCAGCAAAAAAAAGGCGATGACACCAACCCAACTAGCTCTCATGATCCGTCGATGACAGCAACTTGGGTTGGTGGTCTTCGTTGTCCTTTTTTTTTTTTTTTCCTGCTTTTTTTTCTGGTATTGCTACTGCTGTTGCGTATCCCGAGAGCGTTCTGCAACTCGTCGTCCGAATTTTGCGCCACGTGGCGTACCGGGAGACTGTACGATGGAATGACGTGGATGGCGTGCGTGCCATGGTGGTGTGGGGGTTCTCTCTCCTCCCTTTCTCCATCACCTCGTGGTAAGAAATTGGTTCTATCTACATCCCGGCCTCCCGGGCGGGTGTAGCGACGACGTCAGGTGTTGCGCGACCCGGCGCAAAGATCTTCCGCCGGGTCGCTCGTACAAGATCTGGCTCGTGCAAGATCTCGCTCGCGCAAGCTCTCGTACAAAATCTCGCGCTGGCGCACGATCTCCCGGCAAGATCTAGATCGCGCACTCATCTCTTTCAAGATCTTCCTCGCGCAAGATCTCGTTCAAAAGATCCTGCTCGCGCAAGCTCTAGTACAAGATCTCGCGCTGGCGCACGATCTCCTGGCAAGATCTAGATCGCCCACTTGTCTTTTCAAGATCTTCCTCTCAAGATCGCGTACAAAGATCTTGCTCGCGCAAGCTCTGTTACAAGATCTCGTTCAAGATCTCTCTCTCTCTCTCTCTCTCTCTCTCTCTCTCTCTCTTTGTAGATCTTCCGCGCTCAAGATCTCCTGGCAAGTTCTCGCAAGATCTCATGGTAAGATGCGGCATGATCTTGTGGCAAGATCTCGTGGCAAGATCTCGTGGCAAGATCTCGTCGCAAGATCTTGTGGCAAGATCTAGCAGGAGACTGACAAGATCTGACAGGGATCTGACAAGATCTGACGAGGAGCTGACAAGATCTGGCAAGGAGCTGACAAGATCTGACAAGAAACTGACGAGATCCGACAAGGAGCTGACAAGATCTGGCAAGGAGCTGACAAGATCTGACAAGAAACTGACGAGATCTGACAAGATCTGACAAGATTGATAAGATCTGGCGAGAAACTGCCAAGGGAGACGTGCCGTGTATGATGATGTTTATATTGTAATACATTCTGAAGTGCGTGGTTCGAAAAGCAAGCACTACCATCGTCACTCGAATAGAACGCCCTGTCATTCTAGCTGTATTAGGGGCAACATTTGTCTGGATACAGTCACAATGACCGGCCGTTCTATTCGGGTGAAGGGGGTACGCCGGATCTGGCAGTATCTGATAAGCTCGGGCAATTTTTTTGGGCAAGGTCTTTTGCGGAGATCTGATTTAGATTTCCGTCTGTTAGACCGACTTGTCGTTTTGACGTTCTGCCACGTGGATGAACTTGTTGGTAATGATAAGCGAACGGAGGGTCGTCGGCGTCCGCTCATGCCACAGCCGCTCAGGGTCTTACCTGTTTTTTTGTTGGTGTAGGGTTTAATAGGTCCTTCAACGAACGAGGAAGGAGGGGGAGGAGAATGTCCACCGTCATCTCATCTCTCTGGTGTCGATCGTCGATCTTATCTCTCTGGTCTCGATCGTCGATCTCATCTCTCTGGTCTCGATCGTCGTTCTCCTCCCTCCAGATTTTGTCAGATCTTGTCAGATTTCGCTTGTTCGTTGATGACCTATTGAAAAGGAGGGAGGAGAATGTCAACGAGCGATGAAGGAGGGAGGAGAAAAAAATGTCGGCGGCTACTCATGCCACAGCCGTTCTGGTTATAATACTATTAATACTAATATAGTAGTAGAGTACTGTTGTTCCCGGTTTCTTGTTCAAGTGACGTGATGTTACCTGACCTGATCTGGCCTATAGGATCTCCTCTTCTTTTTTTTTTTTTTTTTTTGTTGTTGTTGTGTGTGTGTGTGTGTGTGTGTCTACGTTTGTCTACGGGATCTCTGTCACTAATGTCTACTTTGACACGTCTCAGATCGTGGGTTCGACTCGGATTTGTCTAGATCTCGGTCAGGTGTATATTTCCATGTTCTAGCTAGCAGTAGATTCGTTCCATGATGTTGCTCTTCATAGGATCGGGCGCGGATGGCGGAGTTGCGAATCTATCCTTCTTCTCTCTCTCTCTCTCTCTCTTTTTTTTTTTTTTTTTTTTTTCAGATTCGGATGTATACTGCTGTACTGTTCACGATTTCTTGGTCAGGTGACGTGATGTTACCTGACCTAGGCCATAGGATCTCCTGTTTTTTTTTGTTTTTTTTTTTTTCCCCTACAGAATCTGCTTACTCATTTCCACTGCGACACGTGTCAGATCGTGTTGGATTTTCCGACTTGGCTGTGTCTGATCTGTGCCCGGGATCGTGCACGGATTGTGCAGTTGC